CCCTAACTTTTTTTTTTTATTTTTATGGGGATGCTCCTTTCTTCCTCCTTTATCCCCGGGGGCTTGGTGGGGGAGACGAGAGCACCGTTTTCACCCCCCTTCCTCCATTCCAGTCCATCACATATAGAGGTTTTAAGCAAAACACCTTTTTGATATATGGGTATGCATGTATAAATGTGTGCATGCATGACCCTGGCTGTTTTTTGGGATAGAATTATATAATGTTTAGAGACATGCTTATTGCCACAAGTAAATAAGTATAAATTTCAGACAGATTGGAATTTTGTTCAAAATAAGTCTTTATAAATTTGATGAATGTGGGAAGTCTTTAAAATGCCATATTGCAGACGTGGCAAGAAAAGTGAATAATTTCTGAGAAACAGAAACAAATAATGAGGACCCCAAATTGTTAGGTATATAGATCCATCTTGTCTGTTCTTCCTTTGCTTCAATCGAGAGACAGTAAATTTATATTCTACCCTTCAGGACTGGGAGAAATGTGAAAAAGGCATATCAAATTCCTTGGAAAAGCTAAAATCCTTGAAGAAGAAGCTCTCCCAGCCATTACCTGACCACCATGATGAGCTCCATGCAGAGCAGATTCGTTGCAAGGTACAGTACTAATGCGTAATGCAGTCTAACCCTAAAGAGGTATATAACATGGTAACATAGAAAGCAAACAAGACAGATCCTTTCCACTTTGTTGTATTATGCATGCAGTAACAGGTAACTTACAGACAAATATATTCGCACTGAAGTAACTGATTCTATCAAGCCTGGAATATTTTTAAAAAGCCGAAGAACAAGGTCATTCTTAGCCTTACCTTTGCCATATTTTTAATGCTGTATACAATATTAAAAATCCAGATGTTTTAAGTTTTCCTTAAAAACAGTTATCTGGATATTGCCAGATTTGAACAGAGAAGAGTGGAAGTATACGTTCTGTTTTGTTCTGTTTTTTTAAAATCAAGTTCCTCTGTTAAGGTCTCTTATGAAGCTATTATTTTTCCCTTATCCTTATAGGTGGGTGAGGGTACATCCAAAATATATGTATATTTCCTAAACTCTGACCTATACTACAGACAATTTACCAAACAAAGTGTAATTTTTTATCGTATAATATGCTGCAGATATATGTTTCCGCTATGTAATGCAGCTGGGCCCACAGAAAAAGCAGATTCCAATCTTCTCCTAAGGTGGAAGTAATTAGCAGTAACATATGCATTTGAAGTAGACCAAAACATCAAGCATTCTTTTTAAAATAAGGCTGAAAAGTGCTTTGTTCATCATAATTATTCATTTTGAATTTTTAAAATTTTCATTTTTCCCTGCAGTATTGTACATAATTACCAAAATAAATATATACTTACTTCTATATACTTCAAAGAATTTCTTTCTCCAATACAGGAACTAGAGAGTGCTGCTGAGGGATGGACCAATGATCTTTCTCGTCTGAACTTATTAAAAGAGACCCTGTCTACTTATATTAGCGCAGAGGACATTTCAGTGCTTAACGAGCGTATTGAATTGTTGCACAGACAATGGGAAGAACTGTGCCACCAGGTACAGTAACGTTACCACCAAAAAATACAAAAATAACATTTTTCCCATTAGGCCAGTCTGATTTATGCAGACTATTAGGCCATTGCTGAGATACAGCATTGTTTAAATATGGTAAGCCTGGATTTGAATGTTCAGGTACGAATTGTACTAGTTACCTGTTATACTTCCTTAATCTTATTAGTGGTAAATTGGGATATATGTAATAAATACAGAATCAGAATGCCATTCTTATTAGATTACAGCATAATTATAAAAATTCTTAATATGAAAGTTACAAGTCAACTGATAAAAAGTTTCCAGCCTGCCAAATATCCCCACCCAAAAACCTGCCCCAACAAATCCTGGTTTGTTTTCTTAACAGAGGAAAATATGCCTTACTAAGAGTATGGAAAGAAAATGGGGACTTTTTCAGCCTTTTCCCAACTTTCCACTCACTTGAGTTCACCTTAAAAAGATTGAGACATTCCATATATATACATACACACACACACAAATACACATACATGCCTGTATATTGCTGGTGCCAAAATTCCAAGCGAGCAGATCAAGTCCTTGCGCTCTATATCTGCTAAGGTTGCTTTCTCTACTTGTAAACATTTTTAAAACGGCTGCTTTGAAAGGATGTTTCCGTTCAACAAAAGTGCATATGCCCCCTCAAAGCTGCTTCATGATGCTATGTTATTCTACTGCTCTGAGAGCAAAGAGCAGCTACCATATTGATTTACCACTGGGTCTGCTGAAACCTCATTTACCTGAGATTTCACCTAGGTCAGTGTTGTCCAAACTTGGCCACTTTAAGATGAGTGGACTTCAACTCCCAGAAATTCCCACCCCCCCACTCTGGGCCGGGGATTTTTGGGGGTTAAGTCCACTCATCTTAAAGTGGCCAAGTTTGGA